GGGCTTCATAGCAGAACACGTTCTCTGAAAGAAGCAAGAAGGTCTGAATCGAGTAAGACGCGGGGTCGGAAAGCTGATCAGGCAATGAGCTGGCCTCGCATTTGACTTGGTCTGACCTTCACGTGGCGTTCAGATCGTCTGCCAAGTCAATCAGCATGTCATCTCGATCAGAGACCGGGTCTCTTTGCCAACTCTCACCTTCATCTCGAACAACAATGCGGGTTCTGGCTCCGGATCGACCAACGATGGCTTAGACTTCATCTGAAGAAGGGGTGTTGATCGGGTGACCCTCATACGGGCCCGAATACAGCCCCCTTGATCTCACTCGTTGCGAGCAAGCCTATGCTCGATCGTGCATCTTCATCGATGACGAGGACCTGCCGCCGATGGCTTCATATGAGGGCTACTTTTTTTTCCGGAAAATAAAACGAGGTATTTCCGGGAAAAAAATAGGGTCCAAAGAAGACAGTCGGGACCGCAAGATCGCGGCTGTTTATCGGTGAGCCGAAGCGGGGTTTGCAAGGCCGCCCCCACTTCACCCGCGCTTTACCCCACACTCTCTCCACCACGACCGCACATGCTGCACACGCCTCCGCTGCTTCAAGCCTGAGCTGGCTCTCGAGCTCAACTGTTCCCACAGCATGCCTTGGAGGAATATATAGCTTCGCTCCTGCGTGTGTCCATCCTTTCTTCCGTCCCCACCAATCTCGGAATCACTTACAGCCCTTACTTCCAACGTCTCGCCATGACCATTCAGCCTGCTGAGGGAGCTCCTGTTGGCGGTATCCGTCGCATTGTTACCGGACACGATGCCAAAGGTGTCTCGATCATCGACAAGGACGACGAGATTGAGCGTCTGGACTGCACCCCGGAACACGCCCACTTTGCAGTAAGTCCCTCCTCACCACCCCATGATGGTTTTACAAGATGCTGACGGTTGTGGAGACTGTAGGTGATGTGGAGTACGGATTCGTGGCCGATTGACAACACGCAGCCGGGGGATGGAGCCAAGAAGCCGATTTTCTCGGGCAGGTCGCACAACGACAACGGTTCCGTGGTGAGGTTTGTCGACATCCCACCCGGATGCTGCAGCCCCATGCACCGCACCCAGACGCTGGATTACGGCATTGTGATCTTTGGCGAGGTGGAGCTGGAGCTCGATTCGGGCGAGAAGAGGACGCTGCGACAGAGCGATACGTGTGTCCAGAGGGGCACCAACCATCTGTGGAGAAACAACACGGACCAGTGGACCAGGATCGCTTTCATTCTGCTCTCGTCCAAGCAGATCGTCATCGATGGAAAGCAGCTTAGCGATCACGGCTTCCCCGGTCAGGAATAGGATGTCGAGGTCGTTTTTGGTCGTAATACAGTGTCTGCCAGGGACAAGCATGAAATGAGGGGTGTATGAGCAAGTCGGCATAGCGCGGTGCATCATTGAACGTTGGTCAGGGTGGCAAAAAGGGGTCGAATGGCTCAGTGTTGCTTCTGAGCATGCCCCGTCGTTTGAAGTGAGGAGGACGACGGCCGGCCGACTAGTCCCGGTGGGGTCAACGCTTGAAATCGATGGCGCCAATCTCCGCGGCGCTACTGGATTTCCCCACACTTGCCGAACCCCACCTCGATTTCAGCGCTCCCCACATCACCTTGCCCTCGCCCTTCTTATATGAACCAGCTGATCCCACCCAAGTCTTCCCCCAACTGCTGCAGAGTCGGCTGTTCTCCACGATGAACACGACAAGAAAGGGCATCCACCGCGCGCCGATCGGCTTCGGACCGGCGCCTTCGCCGCGCCAGGCACCCGACGGGAGCCGATTCGACTGGTCGCAAGCTCGCACCACCACCGTCGGTAAGTCCAACCTCGTGATTCCTACCTGCGATCCCCGGTGTTGACCCTTTTGTTGGGGGATGGTAGGTATAGTTGTCGAGGTGGAGCGCGAGTGCGTCGAAGCACTGCTTCCTCCCGGCTACACGGTCTCGGACAGCGTCGCGCACCCAACGGTGCTGTTCGAAGTCATGGAGCTTCGCAATCTGCCCTGGCTCGCGGGGCGCGGGTACAACACGCTCGGCGTCTACCTCAACGATATCGTGTGCAATCGCGTACAGCCTGCGATTACGGCGTCGTACATGGCGGTGCTGTTCGAAAACTTTACCGATCCCATCACTACCGGCCGCGAAGAACTCGGCTTTCCCAAGGTCTACGCCGAAATCTCCAACGCCATCGTCTCCCAGAAGGAAGGGGTGGAAAGCAGAGTGCATACGCTGTCCTGGGGCGGGTTTGAGTTTCTCCGCCTCGAGTTGGCCCTCACTGCGTATGCGGTGCAGAACAGTCCGGCGATGATGCCGGATGCTAGGAGGTATACGCATCCGACCAAGGATGGGATTCTTCACCAGCGCTACGTTCCGGCAGTGGGAGAGCTCGGAAAGAGCGATGCGGACTACGCCACTTTCTGTCCTCCCCCTCCCCCATCTGGCCCACCCAAGGTGCTGGAATTCAAAGCTCCGCCCGTGAGCTGTGGCGGCGATGAAGTGTGCCCAGCGGTGGTCCAGGTGCAACCGGATCAAAAAGCCGAGGGAACACACGAGTTCTGCGAGGGCGCAGTCAAGCTCAGCGTGAAGCGTGGATCATTCGACCAGCTCCCGACGCTGTACAATGTGGTGGATGCGTTGGCGGGTCTCAAGGTGCGTGCGTGCAGAGAGGTGGCAATGCACACCTTCCAGGGCGCAAGTGATCTCGGTACGTCCTTCCCACGCACTATTCCCCGTGCTCACAATTCGTCAGCTGACGTCCCTCTTTCACAGCCGCAAACCACCGCGTTGAAAAGTGAATTCGTAAACCAGAGCAACAAGGACGAATCTAAGCCCACTTGGCGAGGACGGACATGACGGCTGCGCCGATAGTTACAGCCGAAACCGCGGCGATGGCACGAAGAAGCGAGGCGCGCTGCATCTGCTGGTTGTGAATGAAATCGCCACTGAGCAGTTCGACGAGTGCAGTGTAGAGCAGGATACCGGCGCTGACCGAGTATAGCGTGCCGAGCACGATGAGTGTGGTCGAGTTGTTGCCGTTGAACGTCTCGCGCACTCCGATGCCGATGGCGATACCCACAGGCGTGGTGAGCACGTACATGGTAGCCATGAGCAGCTTCGCCCCCACCCCACGCCAGACGAGCAGCGAGAGTCGAGATCCGAGAGCGAGACCTTCGAATGTCTGGTGGAAGACGATGGCGATGAGCAGAGCCACGAATCCGGACCCGGTCGCAACGCCGAGCGTGACGCCGATGAGGATCGAGTGGAAGATGATGCCCGCTTCGATGGCGAACACGTCCCATTCGGCCACCTTTGCCTGTGCGTACGTGAGCCCGCCAAACCTCTCCTCGCCCTCGACCGACCCAGCCGAAGAAGTCTCCTTGGTGTCCACTGCGTCTTCGATCTCGTGGGTGCAGGTCCTTGCTGATCCTGAACGGTTTCGAAGTGAACGCAGCAGGAAGAAATCGATGACCCAGACGAGCCATACGGCCGCCATGGCGATGGCGGGCGCAGGAGCCTCGTACGTCAGCTCGCCGATGCACTCGTTGCTCCAGTAGATGAGTGCGTGGCTGAGAAGGTGCACGAAGACGGTGCTGAGGATCACGCCCGTGCCAAAGTGGCGGCAGATGAAGAAGAACTCGTTCGCCCATACGCCCCACCTCTTGGCCCCGGTCTTGGAGTAGAGCAGGATGGGAAGGTAGGCACCAAACGCGCTGGCGGCCAGAAGGATGAAGATCGACGCGATGTGCAAGCTCATATCGTACGGAGCGGGCGGAGCGAGTCCACAGCCGTATTCGGCGGAAGGACCATGGTTGTGACCCGCATGCGATCCGCCGTGGTTGTGACCGGCATGGCTGTCTTCCGAGTGATCATGACCTTCGTGTTCGTCGGCGGATTCGTTTTCGCAGTGCCAGTGGTCCCCGTGCAGGTGGCAGGCACCCTGACCGGTGGGGCTTGGCTCTGCGGCAGCGTTGGCGGCAGTGGCAGTGGGCGAGTCGCAGTGCCAGTGGTCGACGTGCAGCTCGCACACCTGGCCCACCGGCGACGGCTCGATACCCGCCGCGCTCTGCGTTGCGCTCGCAGTCGCCTCGGGCTGGCTGGCGTCGCAGTCCCAGTGGTCGATGTGGAAGTCGCACAGCCCTCGTCCTGTGGGCGAAGGTGCGATGACTGTAGTTGTGGGCGTGCCCGAGACAGTCACGGCCGTCGTGATCGACTGCGCACCCGTACGAGCCACCAGCACCGCAGCGCAAACCACCGCCACCTGGCTACCGATCTTGCTGAATCGCACCATCTTCTTCTTTCCAAGCTTTGGTGTTTGGAGATTGTATGAACGGACCGTGTGGAAGGAAAGCTCAGGAAGATGGGTTTAAGTATTCGAAGCTAGCTGCAAGCACCGACCGCCACCCTTGATCCGAAGCCGAAGGCGCTTCCCGGCAAATTTTGCAGCGGGCCATGAATAGATCTCTTGAGACAGGCCATCGAACCATGCAGGTGCATGGGAGTTCTTGGCATTCAACATGTACCGACGAGGTCGCTGTCGTGTGCGTACGATTCGAAGCGAAACCCATAACCATAAGGGTCGTTGCCAAGACTTTTTCTTTTTGCTTGAACCCTTTTTTTTTTCTGGTCACCTGTCGAACACCGCCTGGCAGGCACGACATTCGTAAGCCACGTGGCGACGCTCTGGCCTTGCCAAGACCTCGCCACTTCTTTGCGCTTCTTGCCGGAGGCAAACGGTCCGCAATTCCCTTATACGGAAGGTAACCTTCGAAGGGTCTTGGATGTGGACGGTAACATCAAGGTCCTCATCTGGTTTGAAACCCGACATCGCCGGTGCGCCCAAAAGTTTCGAGGACCTTGTTAGTAGCTGTAGCCCTAGCGGCCTACATTGGATGGAAGCCCAAGCCTAGAGGAGTCACTCGGCACCGTGCAGAGGTACTTTACAGTAGACTTTGAAGCAACCCAAAGCTGGGATGGAAAGGATATAAAGCTCTCCATGTGGGTCGATGCAAGATTGCCACTTGCCCATCCAACTTTTTCCTCAACACTCAAGATTTCGACGATGCAGATCAAGGCTTCTTACGGTGCGCTGTTGGCGCTGGTTTCCACGGCATGTGCCATGCCCACGTCCTTCCTGCAGGCGCGATCGCTGCAGGTCGAGGAAAAGATGGATGCTACGTGGCGGATTCACGAGTCGTGCAACGGCACTCAGCGTGCTCAGATCCAGCGCGGTGTGGACGACATGCACAAGCTCGCCTCCTCCTCCATCGCCCACCTGGTGAACCATCCGCGCGATGCTTTCTTCACAACGTACTTTGGCGAAGAGGGTGATCCCGCCAGCGTGATAGGATACTTTGAACAGCTTATCTCCGTAAGTCCATCCCGCCCTTTGCCAAGGTTGAAAACAAAAGGAAAGAGAAGGTGTTGACAAAGTTGATGGGTTGGGTAGGGTGACAAAGGTGGTGCACTTTTGCGATGCGACAACCCGGATGGCAACTGCCAATTCGCCGACTGGAACGGACATTGGAGGGGTAACAATGCCACTGCCGAGACGGTGATTTGCGATCTGTCCTACCAAACCCGTCGACCCCTCGAGCAAGTCTGTGGGTTTGGATTCCAACTCGCCCGCGACAACCCCTCGACGTACTTTGGCGCCGATCTCCTCCACCGCGCCTTCCACGTGCCGCAGTTTGTCAACGAGAAGATCCACCACTACGCAGACACCTACGCCGACTGCCTCGAACTCGCAAAGACCAACTCCTCCGCCGCTGTCACAAACCAGCACAGCCTCCAGTACTTTGCCCTCGACGTCTACTCGCGAAACATGGTCAAGAACGGCTGTGTAGGAAAGGTCGAAGACACGCACGACCACAACCATGCTACCACCAGTGCAGCTGCTCCCGCTCAGACCCAGGCACACACTTCGTCCAGCGCAGCCCCCAGCGCAACCGCCGCCCCAGCTTCCTCCGACTGCCACACCCACGCAGACGGCTCGGTCCACTGCGGAACCCACTAAGCCGCACCCCCACTCATACCTCGCCAAAAACAGGCCACAAAAAACTTTTGTCATGGTCACCAACTCCTGTATATACACGCCCCAAAATACAGTCTATATGAAAGCAATCAGATGGGCTCGTCGCGCGGGTCCATGCGTCGACCTGTATGCCATGCCCAAGCGGAAGCGTCGTTGTATGTGCAATCAGATGGGCTCGTCGCGCGGCTCGATGAGGATCTCGTTCATCGCCACGTGTGCCGGCTGGCGGAGCGCATACACGATCGCGTTGGCCACATCGCTCGTGTCGAGGATCTTGGCGCCCGTCGGTTCGCCGTACTTTTTGATGGCCTCCTGGTCCGAGCTCATGCCCAGCAGCTCGGTCGCAGTGTTGCCCGGCTGCACCGACGTGACGCGCAGGCCCGTGCCCGCCGTCTCGAGCCGCAGCGACTGCAGCGTCGCCTCGACAAAGAACTTGGACGCGCTGTACACGCCCAGCCCCGGGAACACCTTGCGACCAGCGTCGGACGAGATCGCCACAATATGACCTGTGCTGCGCGGCAGCAGCCGAGGCAAAGAGGTCGAGAGCACGTTGAGAAGCCCCTTGCAGTTGACATCCACCGTCTGCTCCCACTCGCCCACCTGCACGTTGTGCATCATGGTAAAGTACATCACGCCGGCGCACGAGACGATAATGTCGATCGCACCGAGCGCGTCCGTAGTGGTCTGCATGAGCGACTCGACCTGCGCGCGGTCAACCACATCGGTCTTGTGCACGTGCACCCTGGAGCGCACCGGCCCTCCGTGCGCACGGGAGATCTCGGCCAGCTCCTTCTGCAGCTTCTCGAGCGCTTCGACGCGGCGAGCTGCGAGCGCGACGTGCGCACCTTCGCGCACGAGCGCCTTGGCCACCGCCGCGCCGATACCCGACGAGGCGCCCGTGATGACGGCCACCTTGCCGCGCAGCGGGAAGTCGGGGTCGAACGCCAGCGCGAGGCCGTTGGCGCCGTTGGCTTCGCCAGAAGGCGTGCTGGGCACGCTCGATGGCTGGCGCTGCATCCAGCCGCGGGCATACCAGTGGCGGGCGTAGGTCTGGAGCAGCTTGGCATCCACCTTGGGACGCTGGAGGTCGCCGAGCGCCGCACGCGTGGCATCGTCCTTGAGCGCAATGATGCCCAGCAGGAACTCTTCCGAGGGCATGCCGGAGCGCAGGATGTCGACGGTGAGGCCGTGGTCGCCACCCTTGGCCGAGCCACGCGTCTCGTTCCAGAGCGCCACCCATGACTTCCAGCTGGTGCGCTTGGTCGGATAGCCGAGCGTGTCGAGGTGCTGGAAGAGCAGGCGACAGTCGATGGGCTCGCTGTCGCCGAGGTGGTAGATGGGCTGGCTGGCGTCAATGTGGTTGCCGATGGCGACGATACCGCGGCTGACAAAGTCGACGGCGGTCATCTCGATGTGCCAGTTGGGGATTTCGGGCGCGACGCCGAGGTGGACCGACTCGACGATGAGCGCGGTGATGAGGTCGTACGTGTTGGTGGAGCCAGTCTCGGAGTGTCCGCTGAGCGTGCCAATGCGGATGACGTTTGCGGGCAGGCCGCGCTTGGCGGCTTCGAGCACGAGCTGCTCGGCCACCCACTTGGTCTGGCAATAGCCATCGAGCAGCTTCTCTGGGACTTCCTCGAGCGGCATGATGGTGGATTCGGGCCATCCGGTCTGGGAGGGCGGCAGTACGCCATTGGTCGAGACGTACTGGACGGTGGCGTTGCTGAGGAAGGCGAGGCGCAGGATCTCGCGCGTGCCTTCGACGTTGGGGTCGCGCAGAGCTGCGTACGGGTAGACGAGGTTGACCTGTGCGGCGCAGTGGACGACGACGTCGACGCGCTCGACGAGGTCGTCGTAGACCTCGGGCACGAGGCCGAGTCGGTTGCGCGAGAGGTTGGCGGGAAGCACGTCGATGCGGTCGAGCATGGCGTGATCCCAGACGCCGAGGTCGAGCATGTTGCGACGCAGACGCGCCATGGCGGCGGATCGGTCGGTGCGGTAGGGAGCGTTGAAGCGGATGAGGCAGACGATGCGCGCCGAGGTGTTCTTGAAGAGGTCGTGCAGCAGAAATCCGCCGAGGAAGCCGGTGGCGCCGGTGAGCAGGATGGTCTTGGCTTGGCTGAGAGGGCACGCTGCCACAGGTTCGGGCGAGTCGAGCTTGAACTCGGGGGCGAGTTCGATGTCGGCGCGCAGCACGGTGGGCAGGTCGGCCTGGACGGCGGCGTTGTGGCCGTCTCGTGCGTTGAGCGTGACGCGGACGTGACCTGCGAGCGTGGGATTGCCGGCGAGATCGCCGAGGGGCACGGTGAAGCCTCCGAGCGTCTTGGAGATGCGGGTGGCGAGGTCTGCGAGCAAGAGCGAGTGACCGCCGAGGTCAAAGAAGCTGACGTTTTTGCCAGCCTCGAGGACGGTGTTGGGGTTGGTGTTGAGCGAGAGCGCCCAGAGCTGTGCGATGGACTTGAGGTTGACCGTCTCGTCCGGGGCGGGGCTGCGGGCGCGCGAGTGGGTGCCGCTGGCGGCAGCGATGGCGGCGCGCGGGTTGGGGAGGTTCTTGAGGTCGACCTTGCCCGAGACCTCGTGGGTGGGGAGTGAGTGGAGCACGACCCAGAGCGTGGGGATCATGTAGTGGGCGAGATGCGAGACGAGCACCTGGCGTGCGCTGGGGCTGTGACCGTTGTCGTCGATGGTGAGCACGGTGCGGCCGGCGGTGTCGCCCTCGTCCGGCACGACGTAGGCTACGAGCTGGCGTTCGAGACCTTCTCCGTGCGCGACGACGGCGCAGTTGCTGACGTCAAAGTTGTCGACGATGGCCTTTTCGACGGTGCCGGGCACGATCGAATAGCCGCGGATCTTGATCATGCCACCGACGCGACCCGTGATTTCGAGGAGGCCGGATTCGGGGATGATTCTGGCGAGATCGCCGGTCCTGTACTTGCGCGCGTTGGGTCGGGAGGCAAAGGTGTCGGGGGTGAAGGCCTTTGCGGTGGTCTCGACGAGGTTGAGGTAGCCGCGTGCGAGGAGGCCGCCTCCGACAAAGAGCTCGCCGGGCTCGCCGGGCTGGACGGGATTCTGGTCCTCGTCGAGGATGTAGGTGTGTGCCGGGTCCATGGGCGGGCCGACGGGGCAGTACGGGGCGTCGTCGGGGAGGGTGGAGAGCATCTGGCGCAGATCGCCGCATGCGACCTCGTGGGTTTCGCTGGCGCTGTAGCAGTTGAGGATGCGGGTGTTGGGGAGAGCGCTGATGGCTCTGCGGGCGAGATCGGTGGTGACGACCTCGCCGTTGAGCCAGAGGGAGCGGAGGGCAGGGAGCTTTGCGCCGAGGTTGTGGTGGCGTGCGAGGACGGCGGCGAGGAGGGTGGGAGTCATGAGGGTTTCCGTGATCTTTTGGTCTGCGAGAAGCTCGACGAGTTTGACGGGGTCGTAGGAGGTGTGGTCGGGGATGGCGTAGGTGGTGGCGCCGCGAAGGAGGGGGCGAAGCATCTCCCAGACGAAATAGACGTTGCAAGCCACGCGGTCGCCCGCTTGGAGGTCGTTGACAGCGAAGCGGAGGTCGTAGGAGCGAACGGGAGCGTAGTGTGGATTGGCGATGCCCTTGGGCTTTCCTGTCGTGCCGGACGAGTAGGAGACAAAGGCGAGACGGTCGAGGTCTGTGCTGTCGGGGAGGGGTGGGAGGGAGGAGGAGGA